ATGCTTTGGCATCTTTTAAAAGATGAATTAACTCGAAAAATTTTATTAATGCAGCATGTTAAACTTCAATTTTGTTTTGTATAAAAAATAAAAAGTTCAAAAATAAAGTTTATATATAATACTAAATTTATTAATAACTTTGGAACAACTAAAACGCTTATTTCGAGCCCAGATTATTTATATATATATATATATATATATATATATATATATATATATATATATATATATATATATATATATATATATATATATATATATATATATATATATATATATATATATATATATATATATATATATATATATATATATATATATATATATATTTATATATATATATATATATATATATTTATATATATATTAATATTATTATATTTCGAGCCCAGATTATTTATATATATATATATATATATATATATATATATATATATATATATAATATATATATATATATATATATATATATATATATATATATATATATATATATATATATATATATATATATATATATATATATATATATTTATATATATATATATATATATATATTTATATATATATTAATATTATTATTATTATTATTATTTATTGTACCGCAACAAGCTATAGCTTGTGCAACCAATTCTGGTTTTGGCGGCCTACATTAAAATTTACAAATTATTTTGAAATAAGTTAATTAAATGGGAATAAAGCCAATTTCATCGTTAATCATCTTCAAGGTTTTCCGATTCGAAAAATTTATCCAATCTTGCTTTGAAACTATTTATAGTTGTGGCACTGATTATGTTTTTAGGCAATTTATTCCAAGTGTTCACCACATGATTTGTAAAAAACTGATGACTCTGTTCATTGTTTTTAACTAACTCTCTAAATAGCTTAAAGTTATGGCCTCGCGTTCGACTTTGATTAAAATCTCTTGGATAAGAGAGCGAATTTACGTTACATCAATTTACAATATCGAAGTCATTTATTATTTTAAAACATTGTATTAGGTCACCTCGAACTCTACGGTCAAAGAGAGATTGAATACCCATAATTTTAAATCTTTTTTTGTAATTCAATTTTCTGAGTGATGAAATCAAACTAGTTGCTCGTTGTTGTACTTGTTTGATTAGAATTATGTCATTTTTGGGTAAGGGTTCCACGCCGGTATTGTGAATTCCAAATGAGGTCTCACAAACGCTGTAAACAATGTTTTGAGAAGTTTGTTATCCATATAGGTGAAAGTCCTGCTTCACATTCCAAGTATTTTATTTGCTTTATTTGATCCATACATAACTTGACTATGATATTTCGCATTTTGCATTACTTTGCATTTTGACTCATTTAAGTAAAGAAGTCATGTTTAGGACCATTTTGCGATTTTATTTATGTCATTTTGTAATACATTTATATTGTTGATATTATTTATTTTTGCTAATAGTTTAGTATCGTCAGCATACAATTTATTTACACTTTTTAATAGTTCTGGCATATCATTAATATATATTATAAATAAAATAGGACCTAGAACGGGTCCTTGTGGTACACAACTCCGAACCTCTTTCCGTTCTGATGAAAATTTTGCCATTACCACTTTTTGTCAACAATTTTTTAAAAAAGATTCAAGCCACTTTAAAGTGTGACCTATAATTCCATAATTCGACAACTTGTGAATTAAATATCTATGCGGAACAACATCGAAGGCTTTGGAAAAATCCATGAATACTACATCAACCGCATTTCCTTTAGATAATGAATAGGTAATAAAGTCCATTGTTTCAATTAAATTAGTTGTACATAATTTGTTGTGCACAAAACCATGTTGATTCGTTGAAATTAAGTGATTTTGTACTAAGTGTTGGACCATACTGTCTTTGACAATTTTTTCCATAACTTTACTAACACCTGACGTCAAAGAAATTGGACGATAATTGCTTGTAATTAGTTTGCTACCTTTTTTATATAAAGGTGTTATATGTGCAGATTTCCAATCATCTGGACAAATACCTGATTGCATCAAAAGTGTGAATATATAACTTAAAGGTGTTGCTAGAACAAAAGCACAATTTTTTAATACAAATGGACTTACTCCATCTGGGCCAACAGATTTATTTGGATCCAACTTCACTAATATATTGTAAACCAAATTAAAATCAAATAACGGTGTGCCGCATATATTGTTTGTATGCTTTTCGAATTTTGGTACTTCGGTAACATTGTTTTTTGTGAATACATCTTGAAAATGGTCATTTAAAATATTTGCTATGTCTTTTGGATCTGTGATTGTACAATCGCTTTTATCTTTTAAGGAATTTATACTTGACTTGATTTTTTTCTTCTGCTTCACATACGAATACACAAGTTTCGGGTTATGTTTAGCATTATTGGCTAACTTTAATTCATACTCTTTTACTGTTTTTTCAGTAACCTTTTGTATGTTATTTGACTCTGTTTGCATTCTTCTACCAGTTTTGCATTGGAAAAGCCACAGGCCAAACATTTAAACCAAAGTTTGTTTTTTGACTTCATTTTTATTTTCAGGGACAGAGATATCCAGTTGCTTGACTTATAATTCGTTCTTACATATTTGATTTTGACGTATTTATCACACGCAATATTGTAATATTTTAGGAAGGCATCATAGCGTTCGTTTACATTTTGATTTTCAAAATTAGTTTTCCAATCATAGTTAGTGAAAAAATTGGACATTAATTCATAATTCATACTATGAAATATTTTTTTGCCAATTAACTTTCGTTGTGTTTTGCAAATTGATTTTGTTTTGAAATAAAATGTCAAAACATGATGATGTCCTTTTTTTTAAGTTTGACAGAGGCGGTAAATGAATGATTTCTTCAATTCTTTCATTGTATTCGGCTATTATAAGGTCCAGTGTACTAGTTGACGTAATTTCATCAGCTTGAAAAGTAGGATCTGTTACAAATTGAGTTAAATATGCATCAGATAAACAGTCGATGAATTGATTTGCTAACGAATTAATATTTGTGTCTTTAACTGACTTTACATCATTGTTATTCCATTTTATAGAGGGTAAATTGAAATAACCACACATTAATAATCCGTCATACTTTGTTGTTATTAAATGTTTTGCATATGTGATAGATTGAGTAATTGTATTTATGGAATCAAGCATGTGAGGCCTATAAATGCAGCCTAATAAACATCGTTCATTGTCTAATATGATTTCACACCATACTTGTTCATTATTGTTAGATTACTTTTCATCCAAGATTTCGAAGGATTTAATCGAGTTTTGTACATATATGGCTACACCACCTCCTCTGCATGTGATATGGTCTTTATGGTAGAGCGTATAGTTTTCAATATTTGGTATAGAGGTGTCTACCCACCAGGTTTCTGTTATAAAAATTAAATGGTGTTTGCGTACAGTTATATCGGTTATAAATTCTGACATTTTGTTGTTTAGCGATGTAGTGTTTGTATAGTAACATGATAAGTAGTTGAATGAAACATTGGATACAGTATTATTTGTATTATTATTTATTAAATTAATTACCTCATACGCATTTGCAATATCATTAGTTAATAAATAAGTTGATGGCTATGCTTGAGATTTCTTAGGAATTTTTTTCACACTGTCACCTCTGATTCCGAAATAATAATTTGTATCTTTGTTGTTAGTATTTAAACGCTTACGTTCTTCTACTAAATGTTTTCGCACAAGCCTTTCCGATTCAGTCAAGTCTTTATTAATTGAAATTTTTTCATTTTCTTTAAGTCCTTTTAACCTTTTTGCCGCTTTAAGTACTTCATTACGCTGTTTGACACTTTCTAATTCTACGATTACTGGCGGTATTTTATTGGTGTCTCTCATTTTTAGACGATGTTGCTTCAATATATTCACATTTGTGTTAATTTTATTCAGCATAATTTCTACAAAAATTTTATCATCTTTTTTTGCATCGAGTGCTTCTATAGCATTTGATTTTTGTATGCCAAAAAACGCCAAATTTTTTTTCTTTTTTTCTTCTATCGGCTAGTTCTTTTGCTGTAACATTTATTAGAGCTTTTTGCTCAACAGTTTTTTTCAATTTTCCTCTTACCACGTCTGACCATTCGGTGCTACTTGGCGTGCTGTTATTTTGTATTACTACTATATGTTTTAACCTATTATTAAGGTCTTCTATTTCTTTATCCTTTATTTCAATTGCCGTTTTCCATTTTAAATCATTTTCTTCAAATTTTTCTTCATTAGATTTAAGCTTTACTTCATTTTCTTTAAGTCTCAATCCAAGAGATGCAATCCTATCAATAAGGTGTTTGAAATCTGCTTGAGTGACCATTTTATTACACTTGATGGTTGATCAAGTACTTCTGACAGTTGATTCAGAGCACAATATCGATTACCTCCCCACAATATGGATTAACAGTGGATTACCTCCTTATTAACACAAATACTTATTACACAGGGACTAAAAAGTTTCAGTATGTGTTTTATATATATATATATAATAATATATATATATATATATATATATATATATATATATATATATATATATATATATATATATATATATATATATATATATATGTATATATATATATATATATATAAGGGCAGCAACATTTGCTCCCCTAATAATTTTTCAAATTAATAATTTTTAAGAAATTGACTGAAAAATTTCTACAAAAAAAGAGGTCCTTTAAACTATTTCAGGGTAGTTTCCCCCCCCCCCCCATATAATTTTTGCTCCTTCAGGCCTGATACCTGATATATATATATATATATATATATATATATATATATATATATATATATATTTATATATTTATATATATATATATATATATATATATATATATATATATATATATATATATATATATATATATATATATATATGTGTGTGTCTGTTTGTATGTAGTATAAGTATATGCAGATATATATTTAAATTTACTTATGATAGTTAGGTGTTTCGTGTTTTCTATGAAAATAGTTGTTGTATCGGTCTTTCTTATGATAGGGTGTTTCATTTTCTTCTATCCATTATTTAATATCTCAGTGGTCACCACCCAGCGACAGAACTAAATTTCTTGGTTACACATTTGGAGGTAAAAGTTTAAAGATTAAAACTAAATTTTGTTTGTTTTGGTACATGTAAATATATATATATATATATATATATATATATATATATATATATATATATATATATATATATATATATATATATATATATATATATATATATATATATATATATGTATATAATAGCATATTTAAGTTTTTTTTGGTTCCCTAATTGTTAGGGTTTTTTTTTTAGAAAAAGAAGAAAAAATGAATAATAAATAAAAAAAACTTATTGCTATCTGAACCAAACAATCAGTCAATGTAGCAGCAACTCTCTTGCATGTTTTCACTATATCATTTGATTTATGTACTGAAGCCCCCAGTGAACGCTTTGTTAATTTCAGCTCCTTTTTTTTTTTTTTAAAAGTTAAAAAAAATTTGGGATATAAGTCAAAGTTGTCAAATTTAAGTCAAATTTTTAGGGAGAATCCAAATCTGATACAAATCAAAAGTATTATTAGTTATATATTATTAGTTTTTTTTCTTGAGAGTAAATGGTTTTTATTTTCTTTATGCAATATCGTCTGTAAAATAAAGAGACTTTTAAGCAAAAAGACAAAGTTTTCATTAGGTTATAAAAATTTTTTTTAGCCTAATGTTTAGAGTTTTAATGTTTAGAGTTTTAATGTTTAGAGTTTTTTAGGTTAATGTTTGGAGTTTTAAAAGTTATTTTTGTAATAAAATTCTCAAAATAAATTTTAGTTTCTCAAAAAAGTCTACTGATGCATATTTTTTTTCGTCTATATGGTGGTCAGTAAATTATAAATTTTATTGCTGTCATACATAAACAACTGTTAAATTTATATTGTTTAGCATAGATTTAAGAACTTTTACTTATTTTCTTGTATTCTAATAAAATATTTAGATAATTTTTTTTTACATTCCTACCTTGAATAATTTTTTTGTAAATATTTTTTAACTACCTCAACTCTTTGGCACTCTCTTCCATCTTCATGTTTTCCTGACTCATACAACCTTCAACTTTTTAAGTCTTCTGTCAACGGTTCCTTGCCCTATAACTCGATTCCATTTTTCTAGTAACTCCCAACTTAATACTGGTTGCTTGCAGCCTTATTAAGAGTGAATCAGAATAAAAAAAAAAAAAACTAGAAGGAATAATGGCACTCAAAACCGACTGTATTTGGGCGTCGATTTGTGCGCTGCTCAAATTAATATTTAAGGGCTTTTTTTTTAATGTTTTTTTATTTTTTTATAGGAAATATTGTTTTTTCGCAAAAAAAAAAGGTGATTTTTGCTAAAGTCTGCTTAAACGAGAGGGTGCCGCCTCCCAAATTTTCTTAGAATAGGCCCTGCTAGTACACAAATTGGTTTTGCGTTTGGCTTCAGCAATTGCTAATCCAAGAAAAAAGGAGTCTAACAAATAATAAACTTTGAGGAAAAAATTGGTTTTGCATATTAATATATCAAATATCTTTTGATATATTAGTATGCAATGTCCAATTGTAATATGTGATGATTTGGTTTCTTCTGATTGTGATAAAGAAGTCCATTATAAATACAAATATATCAAAGAGTACAAAATATCTATTAATATTAAGTTTACATATTTTCAAAGACTTAAAATTGGAACTGTTAGCAAGCTTCAAATCAGATTGTGTAATAACATTGTGTGGGTAACATTACGTGATAACATTGCATGTAACATTGCGTGATGATATTTTGTGATAACATACCATGTAATATTGTATGATATCATTGCGTGATAATATTGGAAATACTTCAAAAAGTTACTTAAAAAAGATGGAGAAAAATGTTTCAAAATAAAAGACAATTTTTAGTTTTATAATAATAAAAGATTCAGATAAGATGAACTATCTTAAAAAAAATGATTTCAATAAAAAAGTTAAATTAAATAATGACAATTATAACATTACTATGTAGAATTACTTCTAGTAAAACCATCAGAAAAAATAAAAAAAATTTACTATATCTTAGATATTGCACAGATCTTTAAATGGTATCAAGGCATAATTTTTTAAAAATTGGTTTGTTTATTATTGTGTTTGTACAAAATATGGGGTGTCTGTAGCATGTGCTACAACTGCAATTGCTACAAAAGTACTTATTGATGCAGGATCAATAAAAATTGAGGGATAAAATATTTAAAATAACAAAAAAAAAAAAAAAAAAAAAAGTTATATAAAAAAATTAAAATTGTCTGATTTTAAAATAAAAAATCTTTCTTTTAAATTTGAAACAAATTCTTAAGAAAAATATATTCATATAAAAATTTGTTATAATCAACATATCCCAACTGTATAAACTTATTGAATAAAATATAAAAAAGCTCATTAATTTTTCAATAAAAGTGGGTTTTTTAGTAAAATATAAAAAGACAAACCACCTAAGCAAAAGATTTTTTTAACTCAAATTTTAAAACCATATTTAAATCTGTTTTTGTTGAAAGGGTTAAAGTCAAAAAACACAAACTTTTCAAAAAATAATAAAACTTAATTGACTTACGCTTCTTTAATAGAAACTATTGAGGTTTGCTAGTTTATTGTGTCATGGATACAGTTAAAAACTTCCTGCTAACACAAATCATTGAGTCTATATAAAATCTATAAAAACCATATCAAACTCATTTTGACAAAATACTTTTTTTCATTCATGTTCTCCATGAATTTCTGCAACTTTAAGTAACACCCCAATTTTTTTTTAAAGTGACTTATCAATGCACCCTACTCCCTATTTCAATATGACATCAGAGTAGTGACCTACCTATGTTGTTATATGTGTGTGTATATATATATATATATATATATATATATATATATATATATATATATATATATATATATATATATATTTACAAAATAGAGTGCTCAATGTTCTTAAAAGAACAGAGCAATAATAAATTAGTAGAAAATCATTTAACAAAAACTTTTCATTTAACACAGTGTTTCATCAAATAAGACTTATCAGAAATGAATGATCAAATTATTACTTCAATTTATACCAAAAATTAAATTACAGCAAGTTGTAAATGTATTAACCACTATAAATTTTCACACATTTGTGGAATATACTGACACTATTATAAAAAGAATTCTTTAGAGTTAATTACTTCTGTTGTTTTTTTTTAATATTTTTTAATGTAATTATTATTTGCGTATGTTCTTTAAAAAATTAAATCAAACCCTAATATTTTGGTATTCTCTGATAAAACAAATAACATTTACCAACTCCCAACAGAAAACTATGAAAAAATTTGGAAAATGCAATTAATTTAGAAGCCCAAATTTTGCTAAACTGCCCCTGCCCAAGCCTTTGTAACACTTAAAGACCATAAACCAAATTTTTAAAACTTCCTTTTAGGTTATTGGTTTCCTCTTAAATTGAACAAAATTAATAATATTCTTAGAAATAAATTAAATTTCAACAGTTGAAAAATACCACTGATGTTATAAATTGGTTATCCACCTCATCCCCTCCCCCATATAGCAAAAATATTTCTACTAACATAGGAAAGTGTTTTTAAAATTGTTCGGGTAGCATTTCCCACCCTCTAATAATTTACATAAAATTTTAATCAAAATACAATTAAAGTCGCACAAAAAATATTGAAATTTTAGTTAAATTAAAATACTCCTAAAATCTCCTTATTTAAACTTGTTTTTTGAACTTGAAGTTTTCTTTTGAACATTTAACCTAAACTTTCAAATTTTTTATTTAAATTTTTGAATAATATTTTTTAATTTGTTTTTCCAAGTTTCCTGGTAAAATCTCCTAAAAAATCTATCAAAATTTCCTAAATCCTTCTAATTTTTTAACTCAAAAAAAGTATGGCCACCCTGTGTTTGTTGTATGCAAAAATGTATGCTGTTTATTACAAAAATTTAAAACATAGATGAAAAAAGTTTATTAAATAAAAAAACAGAATTAGTTTCTAAAAGCAGACATAAAAATAAGTACCTTTTATATAATTATAATTGTTATAACAAATAACTAAAATTGAATCTTAGGAATCTTTTTCACAAATAATTAAAAAAAAGTTCACATTAACTGTAGTTATTGTAACTAAAAAAGTTAATTATATCTACTTATAACTACCTATGAAAATTTTTTAAGTCAACTTTTGAAACTAATAGACACAGTTTTCAATTCAGCGCCATCCTCAAATATAACTGCAGCCATAAATGCCATCTCTGACTAGCTAACAAATTCAACCTATCGGCTATTGTAGATATCTTTGCACTCTTTAACAGATTTTTTGGAAGCTTTTTTGAAACCATGTCTTTCTATGTAAAGTACTGTTTCAACTCCTCACTCAAAATCTTATCTTTTTCTTCGTTTGATTTGCATCTATTCTTCAGCAGTGTCCTATAAGTATCATACAGATCAAGAATCTTTGCTTTTACCTTGTCTTTACAATGTACTTCAATCCTGTTTTTAGCCTATTGCTGCTGAACTTCAATTACAACTATGTCTGCCACAGCACCATTACAACTGCTTCTTGTGCATCTTTCAAATAAAGAAACAAGCAAATAACATCTTCTTTTGTGGGAACTCTGCTTGTAATTCTAAAATGGGTTTTCCTATCAGCCAGAGTCATGGCGCAATTGGCACACTAATCCATTTCTATTATTAATTAATTAGCAATCATATACACAGTACTATCTAGGGAATTAAAATTTATAACCTCAATACATATATAAATGCAGCATTAGACGCACATGAATGATGTCATACAAAATCAAGAAGTTGCACGGGCTTCCATACATACATTAATTATCTTATATCCTGTTGTTGCAAAGGAATTCTGCTACATTGACTGAGGGTTTGGCATGGGGCAGCAATCTTTTTTTTCATTATTCTCTGCGTTTTTTTCTTCTTTTTTTGAAAAATTAAAGCCCAGATTTTTGCATTAAGAACGCAATAATTATATTAGGAAATTGCGCCCTTAGATACACCGTTTGTGTAACACCGTCATGTTTCTTACTTTGAATGGATTTAATGA